GGTGCACATCAGAAGGATTACGGAGCTTTGTAAAGCTCCTAAACAGCCCATCCTAAACATGTTGGATCAAAATTCCTGAGGTGAGGTCTGGGGGATCTACTTTTGTCACTGGTTTTAAAGCTCCCCCAGATGCTTCTGCTCACCAATCAGATCAAGTCTGGGAACCTGCAAATGTAGGCTCACCCTTACTTGTATAGGACCTGAGAGTCTATCTTTTGAGTAACTTCTTTGGGCCTCCTAGAGCTCCCATTAAGTACTGTGGGCTCCTCGCCAGGTCCTGAGACAGGGAGAGTTTTTCGGCTAATGCCTCAAAGACCGCTGTCAGACAAGACTCTGCAGGAATCTACTTATTGAACAGCTCCTATTAAGCACATATGAGGTGCCAGGGCCTTTTCCCCTAGGGACACAGTGACGAACAAAACACACAATGCTCTCTGCCCTCATGGAGGTTACCTTTATAGAAGAGGGACAAAGAGACAAAAATCAGGTTGAACAAGGAAGATATATAAAGTGTTACATGGACATAAAGGCTAGCAAGGAGCATAAAATCCAGGAAGGGGTGGGAACTGTGCAGTTGTGGCTAACGTGTGGGTCTGTGTGCATGGTGCCAATGAAATAGCCTGGTCTCACTGAGAAGATGATATTTAAGTAAAGACTTTTGAGCCAAGGAGCAGCACAATCTATTTTAATACTATTGATCTGTCTGTTGGGAATAGACTGAAAAAAGCAAGAGAAAAACAAGAAGACCAGAGCAATCCAAGTGAGAGCTGATGGGACTGAATTCATTTTCTGTTGCTGTAGACTGGTGGCTGAAGGCCACACATACGGCGCCTGGGGCGCTCAGTCGGTTAAGGTTCTAACTCTTGGTTTCAGCTCAGGTCACAATCTCAAGGTTGTGAGATGGAGCCCTGTGTCAGGCTCCACGCTCAGCAAGGAGTTTGCTCAAGATTCTCTCTCTCTCTCCCTTTCCTTCACCTTCTGCCCCTCCCCCTCGCTTGATCTCATTCTCTCTCTCTCTCTCTCTCAAATAAATAAATAAAATCTTTAAAAAACAAAACAACACACTCACACACTGATTCTCTTATGCCCTGGAAGCCAGAGGTACAAAATAGGTTTCGCTGGGCAAAAACCAAGTTGTTGGCAAGGCCCCATTCCCTCCAGAGACTCCAGGAGAGGATCTGTCTTCACCTTCTCCAGCTTCTAGAGCTGCGTTGCTTACCTTCCTTGGCTCATGACCCCTTCTTTCCATCTTCAAGGCCAACAGTGGAACATCTTCAAATGCCTCTCTGCTCTGTCTTTATGTCATTTTCTCTCTTCCGTGTTAAATGTTCCCCTGCCTCCCTCTTGTAAGGACACTTGTTACTACTCACCTAGATTATGTAGGATAATTTCAAGATCCTTAGCTTAATTCAAATCTGCATATACATTGCCATATAAGATAACATTTACAAATTCTACAGATTAGGATCCAGTTATCTTTGGGGGCCAGTATTTAACCTACCAAAGTAGGCTTGGACCAGCAGAAACTTGATGGAAATGGTGAAAAATGAGCAGATTCTTGGATTTGTTTTGAAGGGGGAATCAAATGGGTTACCTTTTAAGTGGAATGTGGGATGTGAGAGGAAGAGAGGAATCAAGGAAAATGCCAAGGCTTTGACCTGAGCAGTTGTGAGGAGGGAGTTTCCATTTACTGAAATGAAAAAAAAACTATAGGAGAAGCATTTTAGGGATTTTAGGGATGTACAATGAGTGAGTGATTCACTGATTGACGTCAGAAGGTTCAGGGGCCCATGGACATTTTAGATTTGAGATGCCCTCCTAAGTAGGCATATTGAAAAGTCTGCTGGATACATGAGTTTGAAGCTCAGGAGAGAAGTCTGTGCCAGAGGTATTAATTTGGGAGCCTTTGGTATGTCTCTAAAGCTTTGCAATTGAATGAAATCATTAAGAGTGTGAGTATAGGTAGAAAGAAGTCCAAGGATTGAGGCCTGGGGGACACCAATGGGTCAAGGTTAGGGACATGAGAAAGAATTAGCACAAGGAGACCAAAAATTATAGCTGCTAAGGTAGGAAGAAATCAGGAGAGAATGGTCTCCAGGAGGCCAGGTGAAGAAGGAAACTGGGATTAGGGGTGACGGATTGTAGGTCCCTACATGAGATGGATATCTATGGGACCTATGGTACAGCTCACCAATCTAGCACCTGGTACTTCTCCCTACCCCCAAATGCACACCCACACAAATACCCTGTAGCATGAAAATCAAGCCTGGTGCCCTAGGGTCTGGGCAAAGGAGCAGAGAAGTTCTGCAGTCTCTGACCCAAACTCCTGTGGACAGGCAGCTTGGATGTGGTTAAGTTGTATGTCTTGTCCTGTAGACCCTGTCTCCTGTGCTTCATCTGAGATTCTCAGGGGGCAAGTCTGTCACCTGTTTCTGGAAAAAGAAAACATCTCAAGCAGCAAAGTCTCCCAACTGCTTGCCACCCACTGAGCCACCTGGCACGGTTATTGATTGAGTGCTCAGATCATTAGTTCCTGAGCGGGAAGCAGCAGCTGCACAATGTCACCCATAGGGTGACTTTCCCCATGAGGCTGGATTCCAACAACGGCTGGAACCGTTGTTTTCATGCTTTCAATGAAAATGCTCACTTTAATTAGCCCTATTATTTCCTTCATTGCTTATGGAACATCTACCAAGTTCTCAAAATCAAATTGAAGTCGGATGCTACATGATGCCATGTACACCAGGTATCTTGAGTCATTTAGAAAGGCAGGTGAGGAATGTCCACATATACCAACTTGGATGGATCCCCTCCCCTCTTCTCCCCTTCCCACTCCTCTCCCTTCCCCTTCCTCTCCTCATCTCTCCTCCCTTCTCTTTTCTCTTTCTCTGCCCTACCTCTTCCCCTGGAGTTTTAAGCAGTACTTAGACCCCTGGTCCTCAAGCTGGTTGCATATTGGAATCACCTGGGAAATTTTAAAAACTATGATACCTAGGTCCCATTCTCAGAGATTTGGTTTAACTGCTCTTGGGCAGGAGCTGGACTTCAAGAGTGTTGAAAGATCCTTGGATGATTCTGATGTGCAGCCAAATTTGAGAACCAGTGCCTCGGGTTACCTTCTGAGTAGTGAATACCAGTGTAATATTCCCAATGCAAAAAGCTGTGGAGGAGGAGGTGGATCTACCTCCAACTTCTTGTCCCGCCTCTCCCTAACATTCCTGGTTTATAGGGTAAATGCTTGGTGCCAGTTTCCCATCTGAACACTACCAATAGATGCCTGTGCTGTATAATGTTCTGTATCTTCCAAACAGCATGATCCAGTGGAGGCTCTGATATGTATGTATATATATATATATATATATATATATATATTTTTTTTTTATAGGCTCTGATATTCTATACCTAGCTTCTAACTTCTCTCCACAACTTCCCTCCCAGGGCACCTTCAACCAGTTTTTTTGTGTCAGCAATATCAGAGTTCCAGCTGCAACTAGCTCCAGTTATAAGCAATGGGAGAAGTAGGGTAAAGGTGATGGAAATACCCAAGGGCATGTGTACACATGCACGGGTGCACACATACATACATACTCGAACATGATCAATGAATCAGACTGAGGAGTGGAATTCTGCTCAGGTAGAAATTGTCCGATAGAGAAGAAGTGGCCACAGTGCTCCATAGTGTCTGTTTTTGTGGTACTTATTCGAAGGAAAAACTTGGGCCCCTTGCCACCACAGCAGGTCTTGCACAATGAACTGTGCTCCTTAGAAGCAACTTGTCTCCCCCCTCCTTTCTCTCCCCATCCAGGATCCTTAATTGGCAAGATCTAAACAGCAATATGCCCGGGCTAGATCCAAGTCTATTAAATGCCATAAATTTCAGGTTTTTTGAAAATAAAAATTGGCACAAGTTTCCAGAAAGCAACTTGGTATTATGTCTTAAGAGTTTGAAATATGTTCAGTTTATATCCTTTCATCTGATTATTTTACTTCTTATCCTAAGGAAATAAGCAGAGATGTGGTAAAAGATTTATATATAAAGATCTTCAAACAAATGTTATGTATACTTGCAAAAAATTACTTCCTCAGAAGTAACTCTACACATGCTGTAATACAAGATTGGTTTAATATATCATATATATCATAGTACAGACAATGAAATAATCAGACTGTTAAAACTTAATTTTTTCAAATAATTTTTAACAATGTGAAAAAATGCTCACAATTTCATGCTAAGTAAAAAATACAGATAAAATAACATTTTTGTGTAGAGAAGGAAACACTGGAGAGGAATACACGATGTTCAGAGTAGTTGTCCAGGTCGTGTGGTTGTGATAGATTTTTTTCTCCTGAATTTCCAGAGCTTGTACTGTGTCTATAACCAGAAAAAAATCATTTTATTCTTAATGAAAAGTCTTCATTTCTCATTATGGCAGCAAGCATAATAAATAAAGAGGCTGATCTCAGAAGTGACCTCATAGTAATCTTCTTCCCATCACTGCCCATGCTCACACAGGCATTCCAAGCCCTTCCATGCTCCTCATGACCCTTGAGTCCCCAACAGCTTTGGCATGGGTGACCCTTTCTCAGTTGCGTGGCTGAGAGCTGGGGGTACGCTTGCTGGGCAGTGGGACCCGTGTCACCTGTGAGGGCGTCTACCGTGTAAAGACTATGTGTCATTCCTATTACTTTTCAGCATAATGAACTCAACAGGAGCCTCAGGAATTGGAGAGCTCTTGCCCAGACATGCAAGAGCACATTGATTCATTCGGTCTAGAGGTATTTATTAAGCATCTTCTGTTGTGCCAGGCAAAGTTCCCACTCATTGCACTAACACTGTTACAGGTTGTTACTTGAAAGAGCTGACTGGTAGGGTTGAGAAGGCAAGTGTAGCACCAGAGCTCGGGGTTCCATGTGGAAGATCATTCTACCCGCTAAGTGGCTGCTCAGTAGGGGTTGGAGTCATGGTCTCACCAAAGGACACTCTCTCTCTGTTTTTTCAGATGGAGGTGATCGTGGGGGACTTTGGGATTGTGGTGGTGCCCCGGGATGCAGCTGACACAGACCGAATCATGAACCACTCCTCAATACTCCGCAAATACAAAGTGAGTCCTCCACCTCCTTGCCGCTCTAGCTGTATGGTGTGTTCCTTCTCCCAGGGGCCTACGGGGGCAGGGGGATGGTGTGCTGGTGGAGTGAGGGCACCCGAAGAGTTTCAGTGTGAGGGGCGGGCAATCTACTTTCTCTGCTCTGTCCCCAGAATAACATTATGGTGGTGAAGGATGACATCAACCATCCCATGTCTGTCGTCAGCTCAACCAAGAGCAGGTACGTTTGACAAACTGCCAGAGGAACCTTGGTCAAATGGGCTTACAAGTTTTAATACAACTTTCCTCAGTTCCAGCTGACCCCTACATTTGCTGACACCTGCTGCCTGGTATTCAGCCTTCTTTGGGGACTTTATGTATTTGTCCCTAGTCATTTACATGTTTTGGGTTTTTTTTTTTTAGAGAGAGAGAGAGCGAGCACATACACGAGCAGTGGGGGAGGTGCAAAGGGAGAGCACAGAGAGAGAATCTTAAGCAGGTTCCACACACAGCACAAAGCCCAACATGGGGCTCGATCTCACCATCCTGAGATCATGACCTGAGTCCAAACCAAGAGTCAGACCCTCAACTGACGGAGCCCCCCAGGCACTCCCTCAGTCATTTACTTTTGGGGGGGGGTTGCTGTCATTAGCTAGTTTTAGTTGGTTTGCAGGAGGAAGAGGATATTTTTAATTTGAGACTCTTTAGTTTGAAGTGTTTATAAAATACTGTATTAATAAGAGTACAAGCTAAGCTGCCATAACAAAAAGAGCCCAAATAGTCACAATTTAAATAAGAGAAATGTTACTTCCCTCTTACTGAAGTCAAAAGAGATTGAATCTCTGACCTCCTCAACTTGAAGCCCCTGTCTGTTGGTCCACAGCTCCTGTCATGACTGCTGGAAAGGGCAGGAGCTTGTAAAAAAGTGACTCAAAGTTGTACACATCGCTTCCCCCTACATCCTACCAGTTCAGCCCCAGTCACAAGGCCATACCTTGCTTTAAGGGAGCCTGGGAAATGGACTTTATGTGCCCAGCTTAAACTCAGGAGGTTCTATTAAATAGAAGAAGGAGAGAATGGATGCTAGGGGCCAGGTAACAGTCTCCACCATAAACCCCAAATGGAACTGTCCAGTAGAATGGCGACATATATGAATATAGAGCTCTGGAACTGGAATAGAACTGACAGCCATGAGCACAGAAGTGTAAGTTACGTTAAGAGTGTGGCTGAGCTCACGGGGAAAGTCGGTAAGAAGGGCAGCATTTAAAAGAAGGCTAAGGAGCCTAAGGCTAAGGAGCAGTGCTGGCCCAAGAACCAAGGCAGGAGAGGCACAAAGATGTACATCACTGTCATCTGTCACATATTTCAGAGAAATGAGATGGGTCCAGCATTTTTAAAGATCCAGTGGACTTCTTCCCTGGAGGGTGATTATGTATTAAAAGAGTAGCATCAAACTGTGTGGTGAGAGTTGAAACCCAATGACAATGGCCAATGAGGGGAGAGGAGAGGGATTTGATTCCAAACATGGCTGCACAACAAAATTACCCCACAAAAGTACACAAGCACACAAATTCCTGTGTCCTCTTCAATCCTACCAAATTGGCATCTGTGGTTGGATGAGCCTAGGAATCTGCTTCCTGGGTGATTCTGATCAAGTTGGGATTGGCATTTGGAAACCATGGGTACAGACCACTTTTTCAAGAAGCTTCTCTATGAGCTGTGCAGGGAGACACTTAGGGACCTTGTGTGCTTGCAAGATCAGGAGAGTGTATGCACTGAAGAGGCAGCGAGCCAGCCTCTGAAGAGGTCTCACAGGGCAGGGCTCACATGCCTTGTCGAATCTACATTTCTGGAAGAGTATGTGCATTTTTTACAAATAGCTCCTTGGGGCCTGACATTCCCAAGACTATCATAGGAGCAGAGAATGGGAAGCAGCCAGACCGCAGCTAGAGGACAACTATGAAGAAGCCGAAGCTCATCCATCACTGGATCCCTTTCGTACCTGGAGGTGCCCTCCTCCACAGCCACCGGGGCTTGTGAGAAGCTCCTCAGAAGAGGTCACCTTCTTCTCTGTCAGGGTTCCAGTAGGAAGCAAGAGAAGTGGTCAATCAGGAGATGCATGTTCATGAGACCGCGATGCAGAGAAACACAAAGGAATGAAATAAGAGTAGCTAACCCATTTAAATACCTACTGTGTGTCTGGGCTCTTCTAAAGGCTCTTTGCATGACTCGTTTCATCCTTTTATGTTTTTAAAAGTCCTTTTCATAAGTGAAGGAGATTGGCCCACATATTACCCTCATCTTACGGAGGAGGAAACGAACAGATGGGCTTCGATAACCTGCCAGGGGCGCCTGTGCGAGGAAATGGCAGAGCCAGGATGGAATGGAGTCACCAGGGTCGGGGCACAGTTCTGGGGCCAGCGAGCTTCTGCCCATAGGGGAACCTATGCAGCCTTTCTGCAGCCTAAGCAGAGGCAGGGGCTGGGGTGGCGGGTAAACCCTCTCCCTGAAAGCGAGGGCCAGGCCCTTGAGCCTGGGTCAGGGAGGGGGTCAGCTGAGCCCCGTCTCTTCCCATCCAGGCTGGCCCTGCAGCACGGGGATGGCCACGTGGTGGACTACCTGTCCCAGCCGGTCATCGACTACATCCTCAAGAGCCAGCTGTACATCAACGCCTCGGGCTAGCAGCCACCCGGCCCTCGGCTCCACTCTCCCCTCGTCCTCCGCCAACACACTGGCCCCTCCAGTCTCTGTCCCCTGGTTCTTCTCCTGCCTCTCTGTGTCTCCACTCCTCGTCTTGACTGTTCTCCCCACCTGCTGACTCAACCCTCCACGGTGTGGGGGACCTGCAGAGAACCACAGCATACCCTACTCAGCTGTCATCTTCGGACAGACTCCCCTCTGGTCTCCGGGTTGGGGGTGGGTGAGGGAATAGGGGTGGGAGTTGGGGGAAGTGCAGTCCCTGGAGACGTGCTGGTGTCTGTCCCCCAGCATGCTCTAGAGAGCGGCTCCAGTGCCCGTCCTCCCAGCATGCTCTGGGGAGGCGGCTCTGGCTCTCGCCTTCCCAGCATGCCCTTTACCATGAAGGGCTATGTTTCTTTCTTTTCTTTTTCTTTTTCTTTTTTTTTTTTCCTTTCTTCTCTTGCGTTTTGGTTTGGTTTTGTTTGGTTGGTGTTGGTGTTGTTCACTCCTCATAGAATTTGGATGAAACCCGTGTCCATGGTTCTTTATGTTTGTAGTCTTGATGCGCTCCTGTGGTGTGGACTTCCCTTTGGATAGGATACCATGGCCAGCCTCAGCGCTCAGCACCTGCGTGACAGCCACACCAGTAAGGAAGGCCAGGCCGCCTCCACCTGCCCACTCACGCCCCACACTCCCCTCCCCCCCCCCCCCCCATACACAGCAGCTGCCGGCCAGGCTCAGGACTGAGGCCTTCAGGTTCCAAACCCTGGGAGGCAAGTCTGGGAATAGTAGCATTTCTCAGAAGAATTTGCGTCCATTTCCTTAGGTTCAGAAGACCATTTTCCCGATGCTCCGGGCCTGTGATCACACAGAGCCAGTCCACCCTCATATCCTGGTGGCATCTGTACGGTTCCTCCTTTGGGCTGTGAGTGATGGCAGAGTTTGTTCTCTGCCAGCCCAGTGTGTCCAAGGAAGCTTCAGGTCTCTACCTAAGCCCTTGGAGGTCATACCTAGCCACATTCCTGCATCTGAGAAGAATCGCGTAGTCGAGGCCAAATCCTAATAATGCAGCCATTTCTGAAATAAAATATGCTAGGGATTCACTCAACCCTAGAGGTCTTTGCTAATTGGAATTATCTCTTGCCTGTGTGGCTGGGAGATTTTTCTGTCATGATGTAAGTCGAGGATGAGCAAGAGCGGCTTGTTGCTCTAATGGGAATTGATGGTCCTTACCCATTCTCGCTGCGGTGATGCAGGTGGCACCTGAGGTCAGTTTCTTCTGGAAACACAGTACCTCGGTCTTGTTTCTGGAGCTGATCCTATCTCCTCCAGAGCCCAGAAACCACAGTCATCGTCTGAGGAAGTCCGTCTGGCAGGGGAGTGGGTTCACAGAGCAGAGGTCATGGCAGGCAGGGCATTAAGAGCCACTAAATTGTTTCACCCTTTTTGTAATTTCTTACCTTCCTCCGCTGCTCCTGGAAATGGTTTTGACAAACTGTTCTAGCTGTTCTGGTCTCAGTCATGCTCCGCTTTGAGAGCCAAAAGGAAATTATTCTCTTATGCTCTGTGTCTCTCATCTAGTCCCTGGCTCTTGGGTTTCCAGTTGTCTTCACAGAATGGGTCCCCAAGCAACAAGATACTTTTATGAAAATCTAGTACCAGTTATGGCCCATGATGGGGGGGGGGGTTGGTGAGATCTGACATCAGGGACATCATTCTTCAGCACATATTTCATGTCTGTGACAGTCTTCCATAGCCTCCAGGAAAGGGTACTGGATTCAACAGAAGAGCATGTCAGAGTAGCAACCAGAAGAGTGTTATTCCTTTTGGATAATGGAAATAATCTCCAGAGGAGGGAATGAAGATCCTATTTTTGGTTCTCAGTGTTTGGTTAAGGATGGTGAAATCATAAATGAAAAGAGAAACAAAGCTTCAGAGACTAGTTGATTCAACATTCTCCTTTAAAAGATAAAGGAGCTGAGGTCCACTGGATTAAATGGCTGGTCTAAGGTCACACAGCAAGTGTAGAGCCTGACAAAAGGATATTGTTTCCCTGACCCTTAAGGCTTCATACCACATGGTCTCTATCCCCTGGTTCCTCATGACACTCACCACGTAACATGTGATTTCCACTCTTTTCAGCCTTTACCTGGCATCTTTCTTTTAAATTGTGTCCCATCCAGCTGCTCCTATATAGGGCATTGCATATGCGAGTCCGAGGGGTGGGTGTGATGGGGAGAAAGGCCAGAGCCAGGTTTCCCTCAGAAATCAAGAGATCTCAACAGCTTAGAGGAAATCCCAAATAGTGACCCTCTGAATCCAAGAAAGGATGCTTTATGGAAGGCTAGGAAAGACCTCGAATGCGCGAGATGACACCTGGAGAGAGAGAGACAGACAGAAGAGTCTTTATCTGGGCAAAACACTCCCAGGCCAAGAAAGGAAACCAGGGAACCGGATTCCTTCGGGAATGTGACATTGTGAAGGATGTGAAGTTTATCTGTGATTAGAGTTTATTATGAGGATCTACACGAGCAGATCCGAGAGAAACCAGACATGTTTTGTCTGTTTGGTGTCCGCTGTTACTCTGCTGGGCTCTGTGTTCATGCCCCATGTAGTCCACAACCCATGAGGGTGAGCCAGGTTGGCTGTATACAGTCGGTGTGAGGGTGGGGAGGGACAGGAAGAAAAGGAACAGGGGCAGTAGAAGGTGTCTGGAATGAAATGAGGGCAGATCTTATCTTGGTGCATCCCCGGGATTGTATTAAAATTGCTTTTCTTTAATACAAGAAAAAGCAAATTTGGGGAGAACTGTCCATTCCCCAAACTGTGCCATTGTTCACTTGCTAGGGGGAGGTCAGAGCCCCTCTCTCATGCCCCAGGCAGGACACTGTGGCTGTGATCCTGCAGAGGTTAGCACTGAGACAATTCAGAGTTTGAAGTGGTGCCCTAGGTGCCATGAAGATGACCTCTAGGTTCTCACTCCCCCCCCCCCCATGGGATCCCATTCTTCCTCCAAATGGCAACTCAAGGCTGGCATGGTTCAGAGACTGGGAGAAAGGCATGGGCTGCAATGATGATGTTAACAGAGGTCAGGAGCCTCATTTCCTGCCTACTGATGTAAAACATCCACTCTTCAGAAAGTGGCTGATGTGGGTAAGAAGAGGCAGGAAGGAGGGAAACCTTTTGTGCCAATGACTCTCTCCTCAAGGAGTGGCCCTCTGGGGAGCTCTGTGCTGCTCCATGGTACCTCATTCACCGTCCCCTACCCCAGGCAGTCTCTGGGGCCTTCTGGCTTTCATTTTCCTTGAATGTACATAGGAACAGGGGAGGAAAGTCTCTTAACTGAAGTGCCTGAAACCCAGAGCTAGAGCTTCTAGAGACCCTCTTTGTCCCATCTCTGCTTGGCCCACCTTCCCCAGCGTGCACCAGTCTCATGCTTCAGATTCTCAGAAGGAATAGAAGAACTCACTGTTCTAATTAAGTAGAAAGTGAGACTCAGTAATCAGCAGCAAGAGGCAGAGAATTACAGGGAGACATGACTGTATTTTAACAACCCAAATCTACTCTCCCAAACGGATATAAACACACACTTTATGGGATTCAGCGAGAGAAGCATGTTATTATATTTCATTTATCAAAAGAGTACTGCAAAAATAAACCCATAGAGTATGAAAAGCTCAGGATCTCTCCCGAGGCTACTGCAGGAAGGCCAACAGGTGAGATGGAGAGGATGGAAACAGGGACTGATTTTGTAGCTCTTCCAATCAGGATACCTGTGGAGTAGCATGGTGGTGAAGGTGCGCATGCTCTCTGTCAGATTCATCCAGTCTACACCTTCCTAGAGCTGCCAGTGAACTCGATTCTTCATGTGGTTTCTTTGTCGTGTAAATTTGGGGTGTCCTATTACCCTGTTCCGGTTACTTAGGAACGAGCTACACTCTTTCCCTTCAGGTCCAGAACTCAGTTTGATCCAAACGGTCTCAAGGATTGGCATGGGGAGGGGGAAGCTTTTTTTTGAATCCCTTTTGGTCACTGAATCTGCCATTTTAAGAGTAAGATTTGCTTTATGAAAATCAACCCATTAATAAAAACTACATTGAAGTTGCAACACCATTTCATAGTGAAATATTTTGAGTAAAATTTTGTTGCTAGGATAGTCATGGACAGAAGTTTTATCCGCAAAATGTTTGAATTACGTTAATAAATAAGACAATGCTACTAGTCTTGTGTCTTTGTCTAGGATCTTCTCTGCGAGTTGCAGAATTAACCACTTTTTTGTCATAGTCTTACTTGAGAGAAGCCAATGGTTGCAAAAATGTTCTTAAAGCAAGTGTGTGATATGAAAGTATACACAGCCACACCCGAGGACCAAAGGCAGGGAGGAATTATTAGCAAATTTGTAACTGTGCCTAAGAGTTTTCAATTAAAAAAAAAAAAAGAATCTTAGAACCAACCTAATCTTCACAATCTCCTATTGGTTAGCTTTGCCTCCCTAATGAAATTAGTTCCTTAGGAAGCAAAAACGTATTTGTAAGAACTAAACTTGTATCATTCACTTTTGGTATAAAAGATCTTAAGTAAGACAAATCATTAGACTCACAGTTTTGGCAGTATAAACAAGACAAAAATGAGTAATTTGCTAATTGCTCAGCTCTGCTCTCTTAGTTCTTATTTGTAGTTGTGGCATACACTGTGTGTTGGTAGAGATCTAAATGGAGATTGTCATTAGCTAGTATTAGTCATGGTTCAGAAGGTAAAATAGCAATTCCCCTTTAGGCCCCTCATTTAGGGCTTAGCCACTTGTTCGTCAGATTGTGCTTTTTTAAAAAAAAAATCATTTTAGTTCTTACTGTGATGTTTTGTTGTTATTGTTTAAGATTGGAATTAGCTTCGTGTGTGTCCATCTGGGTTTGGTGGCCCATCATAATGACACTTGATATGCCTTGTAAATTGATTACTTGTGCTTACATTTGCTATTTTGGCCACAAACCTAAACACTCTTTTTCTCTGTCCTGAGAGTATGTAATGTTGAAAGCTTGTTTAAAATTAGACATAAACACTGGTTTAATTTGCTAACTTACATTACCTTATAAAATATATGTACTAACTATGAATTAACATACATGTACATACACATTTCTTCTCTTATGACCCATAAGTAGCTTCAGGTCTTGGAATTTCTTAGGAAGTCACATGCAGTCTGTAGTGTAAAGAAAGTAGGGGA